TTCACCATACTCAAAACAACAATACTCAATCGTCCATCATTTTTACAGACTCCATGAGCGTAATCAAAGCAATAGAAAACATAAATAGTAAAACAAAATATGAAACCATTCTAAGCATTCAACATATTTTTACGTACCTCGCCAACAATAATAAAGACATAATCATCGCCTGGGTTCCATCCCATCAAAGGTAACGAGGAAGCTGACATAGCAGCCAAAGAAGCAACATCGCCCTCGTCGGATGTCATCCGAAGACGAATTCCTTATCAAGATCTTGTTGTAACATTACATCATGCCGAAAAACAATCATGGAACAAAATATGGAACACCTCCAGAAAAACAAAAACTCATAGTATAACCCAAGATTTCTATCAAACAATGCCTACCAACAACATGAAAAGAAAAGACAGAATAGTCATGACAAGGCTTAGAACAGCACACTGCAAACTCACACATGAGTATCTATTTAAAAAAAAAAACAGAACCATCAATGTGTATCCAATGCAACCGAATTCTATCAAGCAATCATCTTCTATTTGAATGCAGCAAGTACCACGCTCAAAGGCAAAAATACAAAATAACTTCACTGGCAGTCCTGACGTCGCAGAAACACATAGGAAATGTCCTGAATTATCTAAAGGAAACTAACATCTACCATAAGATATAATCGTCTTGAAAAGGAAACAGTACCTAGCCGTCGCTAATGACCAGAAGGTAGATGCGACGTTAATCATAAATTAAAAAAAGAAAAATTATAATAAATATGACATTGTACGATATAATATTACAAAACTTGATTCGTATCGCCGTGAATTAGGTAGTTTTAAATTATTGCGATATAAAATAAAATTCGAATGAATCTTTTTAATTGATGATTAAAAAATTATTAATAATTTAATATATCTTATAATTAAATCTATAAATTGTTAATATTTAATATATCTTACGTCTTACATGATTTTAATAATCTTAACACATACAGTTGATGGATATCGGTAGAAAGATTTTAAGATTTCAAGATTGTTTATTGTCGAAATTTAGGAACGATTGAAATATGCGTTTCTAACCACACTGAAAAGATTTATTATAGATTTGTCGAAATTTCGGCTGCTTGTCAGAAATGAACACGGAACTTGAAAATGCAGGAAATTAAGGTTCCTCAAGTCGCAGTTCGAAATGCGACAAAAATATTAAATACTTAACGAAATATTAATTCCTACTATTAATTTAACAGAAATATCAGAAATATTGCTTCAGTGGAATTGAACTAAGTGTCCAATTATTTACGTACGTCATTATCATTATCTGCGACGATATTCTGATCACACTAATCTTTGCTAATGGACACGTAAAAGACGAATGTGATTATCTAAATAAAATATTACGATATTACCAGTAAGAAAGTATTAGCTCGTTTTAGGAGACATTTTTGCTCCAGTTTTCTGAAATACATACATCGTACGAAAGATTAGGATAACGTAAGCATTTAAACGAACTTTATCGTGCGTGTTTCTCCATCTTTCATCGGAAATTAAACTGATTTTTTTCTTTTTCGACGTGTGCATCAGTACAATTTAAAACTGCACGACTTCATTTCAAAAAACTGAAGCTTTATAAAATGATTAATGACTTTGAAATAGGCACGCCTTGAAATCATACATCTTTCGTAGGTTCTACCGTAGGTTGCAAATTCATAATATTTCTCGCTGCAAACGATGACATAAATCAAAGTGAGACACCTTGTATATTAGAGTATATTATTTATATGTGAAAACATTTCAAAGTACATTTATATTATTCTTATATCAAAATGGATATTACGTTTCCAGCCTCGCACACTCGCAAAAATAAATGTCACAGAGCCACAGAGAGATAAATGTACCTACGTGCAACGGAATACTATAACTTTGCACAAGGAAAATGTATCAAATCGGCGCAATCAATGACCGTGAGTTGACACTAGAACTATCGAAGTGATAAAAAAAAAAAAAAAAAAAACGATCAGTGTATAATTTGATAAATATGAAACGTTGTATTTTTAGAAATCTAAATAATCTTATGAATTAGAGTATTCTCGTGTATTCTGTTTCCTTTAATTTCAACATGTCCCTGATGAAAGTTTCACGATAAATTTTCAAATGCTCGTCGGTAACTCCAATGTTAAAAAATGATAGCTTTTGCGTTGGATGATTTTTGTTCTCAGACAATGAGACGAATATATGTAGTTCGACTTGATAACGAAAGAGTGAAATAACAAATGATCAAAAAACGAAGCAGAGTGCTTCCAGTATTAAATATCTGTATAAGAAATGAGTAAATGTGCTGAATTCATCAATGAAGTTACATGATTTTCATTATAATTGTGATGACTATTCTGAAACAAAAAAAAAACTGTTGAAGTATATTGTTATAGAAGTATATATGTCAAATAAAATATTGAAGTAAATGAACGTACGTTTTAACGAGAATTATTTAAAATGGTATATTTACAAAATTTTTGTTTCAAAATGGATATTACTTTCTGAACGACCCTCGTGTATGTTACGTGTAACAGAATAATACAGGGTATTTACGGATTTACTAGCCAACGTCTTTTCTCATAAATGGTAAATATGAGAGAAAAAGATGAAAAAAGAGAGGGAAACATAAAACCTTTTTGTATCCCCGTCACTTTTCTTTAAAGTGAATTTTTTAAACAAAAAGCCAGAAAGTTTTTTTTATACGAAAGCATATATCAGAAAGATATGCTACACAAAAAGAGTGACCCTGAGTGTCGTAGAAGAAAAAATTGAAAAAAAGAATTTTCATTTTATTATATATATTAATATACAGAACATTCATAATACATAAAATATTCGAACTTTTGATCTTTGACATAAAAGAATATGGCATTTGAACTTTGACATAAAAGAATATGGCATTCTATTTCAGAAATTGAAGATCACCTTCGTCCCGAGAAGAAAAGGGAAAAAACAGTGGGAATTATGGAAAAATTTCATACTTATATTGCTCGCAAGAAACGATACTACAGTGGTCACTGAAAGACCAAATGATATAAAACAAAAGTAACTTTTACAAACACGTGTCTTTTAAATTTCTTATTATTTTATTTGGAAATATAATTAATGGATTTTTTTCAGTACTTTTTTCTATAACCTACAAAAAAAAAAGAAAATAAAGAAAGATAGAAAATGAACAAGTTATGACTTTTTCAAACCCTTCGGTGTTTCAGTGGCCATTCTGTACTCTCTTCTCTTTCATCTTTCCTTGTATCTTTGCGAGAAACATCCAGTAAGAGAACACGTATGAGATTAAAAAGCGGTCGCTTACGTTCAATGATTCTTTCTCTCCCGGCGAATGAGACGAACGTTCGAATGAAACAAAAGTGATCCGTTTGCCTTGGATCTGAAACAACCCCGTCCTGTCGAGACTCGAGGATGTATATATGTATATACAGGGTATCCATAAATTCTCTTTACAATTTGAAAAATTTATTACAAAGGCAAATGAAGAGACAGATAAGTGGAAATTATATATTTAAGTCTTTTTTTTTTTGCCTCATTTAATACTCTCTATATGGGCACCATTAGTTGCACGATATTTCTTATATTTGTTTGTAAATAGGTCAGAATAATAATGTAATAATAAATACACAATAATAATAAAATACCACATCAAAACGATACTCGATTTCCTGCCATGTTCGTTGTAGCATACTCTGATCAATGATGGCAATATCAGTGATCTTCTGCTTTAGATTAGTAACGTTCCGTACCTTCGTTTGATACACGATATCTTTAACATAATCCCATATGGATGTCCATAAAGTTTCTTTACAATTTGAAAAATTGATTACAAAGGCAATTGACGAGATATCCTCATCAGATTTTGTTTCATGTGCTCAGTGTATCAAGGTTTTCATCACACTGCATTTGCAGGTACCCTGTTGACTAATAAGATACTGTTAAATGAATCCCTTACGAAATGGCAACTCCTCAAGAGAAGGCATAGTGTGTATCATGGTTTATTGAAACCAAATCGGATCTGCAGACTCAGCGAAGCTTCAGAACTAAGTATGAGAGAGATCCATCAATTCGTGCAAGAAATTTATGGACATAGGGACAGTGTTCGATAAAGGGAGGAATAAACGACCAAGAACATCGATCCTGAGAAAGAAATCGAGTACCGTCTTGATGTGCTTCGTGCAACTAATGGTGCCCATATAAAATACATTAAACGAGGCAAAAAAGAAAACTTAAATATACACGTCTCATTCTGCAATAATTTCCACTTATCTGTCTTTTCATTAGCCTTTGTAATAAATTCTTGAAATTGCAAAGAGACTTTATGGACAGCCTGACAGAGCGACAGAGACGGTGAAATTGTACTGCAACGGATCGGAGAGGGATAAAAGATCTCTGGAGAAACTCTGGAGAATAATTGATCTCGCCACTCGGGCGGACTCGTCGAGACTCTTCCGATCGCGGTCGTCCGCCAGACGAATCAAAGGGAATTGGGGATCGGAGATCCGGCGTCGAATAAGATTCATATGTAAATCGATCGGCCGATTCGAGAAGCAAAAGGCCGATAGAAGTGTGGGAGGTGGAGGAAGGCATACCGAAGTCCGAAATGAAATCGACTGTGTTCGATGAAGAACACGGTGGGCGAGCTTGTTAAGCAAACGATACCGGCGGCGGCTCGGATTCGCGCGAAACAAAGTCACCATGCAAATTCACAGCCGACGCGTCTGTCCCGGGTGGTCTGTCTCGGTGATATAAAGGGCAGACGCGCGCTTCGGTGGTGGAGGTGTAATTTCCATGAAACATTCTCGAATGAATGAGAACCGAGTGGGACTTTGACTACCTAACCCTACGCTAGACACTTGTATTTCCCTCTTTTATATGCTCGTTTCACCTCCGCGCTGATTACTTTTTACTAATGACGTCAGCCACGATTTTTTCCTTTTTTTCTTTTTCTTTTTCTTCTTTTTTTTTTTTTTTTTCTTTATCGTGCGAACGTTGATGCCTTGCCGCTGATAAACTACGTCGAACGAATCATCGTGACAATGATAATGACTTGAGCTACGCGACAAACATCTTTCATTCATGCACTTCGACAGCTGAAACGACTTCTTTCGTTTAGAGTATCGAGGATCGTTTCTTTGGATATTTTCTTCTTTTTTTTTTTTTTTTTTTTTTTTTTTTTCTGTACGAATATCATATTTCTTTGAATTTATAATCGACATCAACTCGCCATTAGTTTTGGAAGAGAAACGAGTAATATCGTGCACGATGTTTTAATTCTCTGCTATTTTATTAATTGAAGGTGAATTTTCATTTCGAATAGATATTTCTATCGGCTGATAATAGATGTTTCATCGTCAGTTTCGTGATGAAAAATCGCGAAACATACAAAACACCCTGAGGAAACCTGTAAGGCGTGCTCACGGATGCACAACACGGCTGATGGCACGATGGATCGCAACTACAAGCACCATATGCGACCAATGAGTCGTATCCTGCTAAACTGTTAAGAAGGAAGTGGTTCGTTGTTGCTGTCCTCTCTCTTTCTCTCTCCCTTTCCATCTCACTTCTCCCTTCACGAATCTTTTTCCCTCCCATTCATTTACTTTCAGTCTCTCTGCCCGCTTTGCCGTCGATCTTTCTGCTGGTTACACAGTTTGCTTTTGTTTTTACACTTTCAACGCAGCTTCCCGATTTCTCGTTGAATGCAAAAACTTAACGAAACCTTACTAAACAAAATATCGTAAACCGCGTGAACGAATCTCTGACGCCGTTAGAGATTTATAATTTTTTACGTAATTACATTCGAACTTTTTTAACTTGCGGTTCGTTTATACTAACGCTACGCCATTTACCTACATATTTCGCTTCGTTAGCATCGTTTATTGACGATGAATGATACGTAATAGTAAATGATCTAGTAATATCGCACGTGTAATATAAATGAAACTTACGGGTATCTTGCTGCTTTTGAGAAAGTCCAACAACGCCTCGAGGGCACCCAGTGTTGACGCCTGCACGTAAACACCACGTTCCGCGAGTCGAATATTACCGAGAGCACTAGACAACTCTTTCGCAATTTCTTCTTTCAAAACATCCACTTCATCCGATTTCTGAGCCACTTGGAGATTCAATCCTGTTTGCATAAATACAAAATCGTGGTTTATTTCTTTCGTAATATTAATGTTACTTTACAGTGTAGCAATGTTGCGACGCGCATGCATAAATTTAGTAAATTATTTACCTGCAATCGCTTTTTCTAAATCCTTCGCAGCAATTTTTACTCCTTGTGCGGCTTTTACCTCGCGATGTTCAATATACGCATTCTGCAATTTGTCAAATAAAGAAAATATTGTTATCACATTTTCACACGTAGGGCAACTTTGTCAATGCAGTTAATTACAAATGAAACAGTGTATATTTACTTTAACTCTTAATTCTTTCAACGGTTGTGGCATAAGAAGCGAACGTATTTGAGTTACTATAGGACCATCGGTACCCGCTACTATCATTGTTTCACCTTCTTTCAACATTCCATTGACTAGAATACAATCTATTGTAGTTCCAAGACCTGGTAATGCTTTCACTTCTAAAACAGTAGCTTGAAGCTCTTCACTATACATGAGTCTCTTGGCTAATGGACCTTGACAAGCATCTACTATTAACGATAGTAGATTACCCATACCTTCACCTGTATAAAAAGCGATAATTTTTAGTCTTTAAAGTATTTTAAAACAGTCTTAAATATATTTAAAAAAAAAATGCAATATCAATTTACCTGTGATAGCACTAGTAGGTACAAGGGAAACATAACTTCTAGGATCTGGATTTTCGTAAAATAATGCAGCATTTAGACCTTGTTCCGCAAATTGCACAATAACATCCTTTGAACGTTTTTCAAATTCACGCTGTGTATTAATAGCTTGGCTTTTTACAATATCCTGAACATCTTTTCGATTCATAGTTTGCCAATCGTATAATCTATGGAAATTACAATTTATTATTACTTTGCTAATATTTAATTTACATATTATCATAACGTCTGACTTCGTCGTACCTGTCGATTTTATTTAAAGCTACAATAAAAGGACATTTCTTCGATTTTAGCAAATTAATGCTTTCGATGGTTTGCGGTTCCAAACCGTGCATAATATCTACGACTAATATAGCTATGTCACACAGAGAAGATCCTCGATTTCTTAAATTACTAAAAGATTCGTGTCCAGGAGTGTCTATTATCAAAAGTCCAGGTATTTTGAATTTGTTTTCATCAAACTGAGAATAAAAAAAGAATTATTATTTTTTTGTCAATCTAATGACATGGTATATAAAACAATTATAGAAGCTAACTTACTCCTTTAACATGCTTCGTTGATTCTCGAATAGCATCGATAGGCACATTTGTGGCGCCAATTTGTTGAGTTATACCGCCTGCTTCACCATCTTGTACATTCGTTCTTCTCAACTTATCAAGAATTTTTGTTTTTCCAGTATCAACATGACCTAAAACGCACACTACAGCAGCTCTAAGATTATCTAGCGACTTCTTCTTTTCCGCTTCTACCCTTCGAAGTTGTATTCGTTCTCTAACTCGTTCCTTTTTTCTTGCTGCATCTGATACTTTATCTTCTAAACCACTGTCATCACTTTCTTCTGTTTCTGATTCACTACCACTTTCGCTCTCTGACTCACTTTCTGAAGATTCTTTCCCAGTTTCTTCAATTTGTGATTGCTTGCCTTTCTCAAGTGAAAGTATTGTTTCCTTAATTTTTTCAGGAGTTTTTGGCACATCATCTAATTTATCTATGAAATTATCTTCTATTAAAACAATTTCATTAAATATGCTTGCAAACATGTATAGAATAACTAAACTAATTTTTAATACCTTCATCCTGTTCATCTTCACTAGTTTCAGCATCCCATGAATCTTTGACATCATCTTTGTTTTCTTCAAATTCCTTTGGTTGTTGATCTACAATTTCTAATTCAACTGTATTTGTTTCTGGCATATTTTCTTCCGTTTTTTCATCGTCTTTTTCATCGATGCTCACTTGCTGTTTTACTTTACTCGGCCGTACACGAGTTCCTGAAACAATATTTTTATATATATCACATATATTGTTTCTTTACAACAGAATATTATAAATAAATACCTGGTCTAGGAGGTTTCTTCTCTCCTACGCCTGGTACATCCAAACCTTGAGCTTTAAGCGCATTGATCATAGCTTGTGCTCTGGCTCTATCTTGTTTTTGTTTTGTAGTCAAAAGCTTTCCTTCTGCCTTTAACCTTTCTTTCCTCTGCTTTTCTTTAAGCTTTTTTCTTTCTTTTCGTTCCTGTTCTAGCCTGAGCTGTTCCAACCGAGCTTGTTCCCGTCGTTCTTCTTGTCGTAACCTTTCTTCTTCTTCTCGTTTTAACCTTTCTTCTTCCTCCTTCAATTTCTTTAAGGCTTCTTGCATTGCAGCAATAGTTTTCTTCCCAGGACCTTTGCCTATTGCACATATCTAATTATACTAAATGTAGACACATATTAATGTTATATCCTAACAAATTTAATTTGTATTAATTTGCTACTTAGAAAAAAAAAAGACACTAAAATTATGTGTTACCTTTTTCCTTTGTTTCCTCTTTCACAACTCTCTTTTTTTTCTTTTTTCCTTCATCACCTTCATTAGGTACAGAAACATCTGCTTCATTGACTTCTTTCAATTCTGTAGTCTTTGTTTCTGGAATTTTTACTTCTGACTCCTTTTTGTTTTGCTTTTCTGTTGTAATTGCAGGCTGTTCTTCTTCATTTTCTGCCTTCTTAGTCATTTCCTATTATCAATTAATTTAAATGTAATACTAACACGTAATAACAAATTTGATATAAATACAATAAATATAACTATATGAATCAACATACAGCTTTTTTCTGAGCAAGTTTTTTCTGCTTCTCTCTTTCCTTCTTTTCTTTCTTCTTTTGTGCAGCAGTTTTTACAGTACTAACTTCCATTTCATCATCAATGTCATTTGCTTCAAGAAATTCAGTAGTCTTTAACTCTTCTTTAATATCAATGATATCTTTCTCTCTTTTCTTATCCTTTTTTCCCTTCTTCTTTTTATCTTCATCTTCAATTTTCTGTTCAACTGGCGCATCTTTGACTTCTTTCTTCTGTCCAGAATATTCAAGTTCCAATTCAGCCAACACTTTTTCAATATCTTCCTCATCACTATCATTGCGCTTTCTTCTGGCTAATCATAAATATGAATTATTAATAATATATCAGAAGTTAATTATGCATCCAACATATTGTATTACTTAATTATTTGTTGTAAATATTTGTATAAACTGATTAAATTATTAAATTTTTAATCTTTACGTCAATATATATATATATATATATATATATATATATAATGTATTGATATATAATATATAATATAATATAATAAAATAAGAAGTAAACAAAAAGACTTTTTCTGTCATTTAATGAAAGTACACAAGTAATAAAAGTACCAAAAGTATTGACAACAATATTTAGTATACAAGATACTTGTACTATCTTAAGATACTTTCACTATTTAATTTGAAACTGAGCAACTTTCACCTTGACAATGAATACATTATGACTAATTCGATTAATGTAATATTTTATGTAATGTTTTTTATTCTTGTGATAATCTGCATTACTTAATAAAAATTTGATTTAATAAAAATAAAAAAATCATGTTACCTAATATTACTTTCGAATTATGAATACCAACCTTTTATAATTATTTCTATAAATCTAAATTTACTTTCTAATCTAAATAAACTTTAATTTATCGAATTATGAATATTACAGAAGAAGTAAAAACATATTATTATCCTTTCCGTATGTAAAGAAAAGCGGTTAAGTTGAGGTTAAGTGAAAGCAGACGACAGTCGTCATATAAGAAAAGAATATTAAAAATTTTAGTAAAACGTAAGCGTAGTATACATTCAAGGTACCATCACTTTGTTTTTATTCAATTACACATGTATTTATTATTTTCTCACCTTTCTTGCCTTTCTTCGGTTGAGATTCCTGCATCTTGATCTAGTTTTAAGATTTTCCTTGCGCACGTTCAGTTTTTTAACGGCTTCTTTATCGTTTCACTAATAAAATTCTCTTTACGGACAAATTAGATTTCTTTTTTAATATATAATGTTGGAATTATATAAATAAATCATATGAAATCTGCGAATCTCCACCTGTCCTTTTAATCCGGTCTGCACAAGTATATGCATAACTTAACCATACATTTTCAAGATGTACATTATGAAGATTAAAGCCAACTTCGTATGTGCAACTAGTGATTAAGAAAATAAGATTAGTAAAAGGAATATTCACCTTGTATTATTATTTTAATTTCCATTTCATAAAACATGTAATTTTTACGAGCATGTTATTAATGTAGTTAATATAGTTAAATATAAATAATACGACATACATAAAATTTGATTTACATGAAAATTTCTATTTTAAAATATTTATGTTAAAGACAAGTTATTTCTCGTATTTAGAATAAATGATTTAATTTAGTAAAATTCAAAATGTATTTTCTATTTTTAATTATAATATTAGTAATTTTTGTTATATTTTTAATAGTTATTTTGTGAGTAAATGATATTCAAGATACGTATGCGCCATCTGGTGAAAACGTAACAGTTCTAATAAAGAGTGAAGACTCTTCATTCTTTATATCGTGATCAAGATGGTAAGTTGTAGAAACTAAAATTATTTTTCCGTAATCTGCAATTATTAAAATCATCTTTGTTCAAATAAAATAATGAAAATTATAATTTCACTAAAAATTTATTGAATACTTTTGTGGAATTATTATTTTTCTTTTTTGGAATGATTAAATTCAATGTTAATTGTAAATACTGTTAACATTACGAGTTTACGTTACATTTCGAACATAACCTATCTGATGAAACACAATGTGATTGTATGAATAACTTTATTGTTTAATTTGTGTATTTCTTTTTTTCAATAGTCTACACACAAAAAGAAGACCAGGAAGCTTCGTGGTCATGTGAGTCATGGTCACGGACGTATAGGTACAGTTTATTTTTAATATGTATTAATCTCAAAATTTTATTTTAATAAGATATAATATTATATATAATAAGATGTAATATAATAAATTATTCATTCTAGGTAAACACAGAAAGCATCCCGGTGGACGTGGTAACGCTGGTGGTTTACATCATCATCGTATTAACTTTGACAAATACCATCCTGGCTACTTTGGAAAGGTAAATACATGTACTTAATATTTCTATAAAAAATTAACTATCAAATATTAAATGATGATAACTCTATTATTCACCGGCGATCTGAATTATTTTTTGAATGCACTTAATATTCTGACAAGTTATAGAAATATCCAATCTATCCTAATAGAAGGATATTATTAATAGACTTTCACTTCAATTTACAGCTTGGTATGCGAAATTATCATTTAAGGCGGAACACAAAATGGTGCCCTACCTTGAATTTGGATAAATTATGGACATTAGTTTCTGAGCAAACCAGGCTTAAGTACAAAGATTCAGAAAGCAAAGTTCCAGTAATTGATTTAGTTAAGGCAGTAAGTACAATTCTTAGGAGGATTATTGAAAAAAATTAATTTGAAAATGCTATATTGTAATTATATTTTATATTCAATTTTATGTAGGGATATTACAAACTTCTGGGCAAAGGACGACTTCCTAAACAACCAGTTATTGTTAAAGCTAAATTTTTCAGTAAATTGGCAGAAGATAAAATTAAGGCTGTTGGAGGAGTCTGTGTTCTCTCTGCTTAAGCAAGCAGGTAGATATTTTGTAATAAACTTCTGTAGTAAGCTTCTATAGTATGATTAAATTGTAAAAGACTAAAGCTGTTAATGATGACAAAATGAACGGGCGGTCGGAAAAGTGCGTACAACACTCAACTCCATGTAGATTGTTCTATATAGCTGATAATATTAATTAAATTTAATAATATTTTAATTTTTTTCATAAATAATTTAATAAATATTTTTTTGTGTTTCAGGAACTGGAATCTTCAACAGACCTGTTGTATATTCTAATACATTTACATTCTTAATAAATTTTAAAAATAACAAAAAAATTGTCGCACTTGTTTTTTTTATCAATATTGTATGTTTTACAATAGTAAAAGTAAAATTTTAAAATGATTAACAATTTTTGAATAACTTTAAATCAATTTTGTTACTATTATGAAAAACGTATATAAGTAATGAATAACAACAGAGTATAAATGCTTCTTTACGTTTGTTTTATATATAAAAAACACCATTTTTTGAAAGATATACATTTTAGTATTAGTTTGTATCTTTTTTTAGTTTTGTTGCATTTAAATAAGAAAATTATGCTATATGTGGAGGTGGTGGAGGTATTTGCATGCCTGTAGCTAAAAGTGCTGGTGGTGGTGGTACTGGATTAAATATAGGTGGTCTCGGTGGTGGTGGAACTGGTACCATAGGTGGTCCTAAACCAGGTCGTATTAAAGGAACAGGAGGTGGTGGTACTTTGCCAACTGAAGGCTTTTCGTTCTTAAATGCAAATTGCAAAAAGAATTGTTTTGTATCCTTATTCCAATGTGTCCAAAACTTGCCCTCTGCTTTTTCAACTTCTCTACTAGGTACCTACAATGTTGTACATATATTTTTGAATATAAAATATTGATAAATGATTCTCTAATTATGTCTTTATATTTTAAAGTTTACCTTGAAAGCTATAGTTTCATAAGGTTCAGCGGCAAACAATAGATATTGCCATTTACGATCTGGTGGTTCAACTCTTTGTTCATACGCAGACATAAATCTATGCCTTGGAATAACATTATCTGCTACCTCTGGATAGTCAACTTGGAACAATAAACTTTGCTGTCCTGATTCTGGATCTCGTTGTTTAGTTACTCTATAACCTGGCCTACCAATTTTTACAAATTTTTTTGGTTCTACTCGAGGTTTCTCAGGCGCAAGTGTCTGAGGGGCTTCTTTTGCTTCTTTAGCAGCTCTTCTGGCTAGGTTAGCTTGATGCTTTTTACCCTGCGTGTGAGCCAGATAACTGCCCTCATTATTATGAAGAGTCAAACACAGTTTACATTCATAAGACCCTAAATGATTTTTCATAAAATACGGGTCCTTGTTGAGGTCAATAGTTTCCAATGCAAGTTGTCGTAAACGTTCTCTTCTATCTCGATTACTTTCTGACCATGATGCAACACCTCCGCCACCAGTTTTGCCTCCAGGTCGATTTTGGAAATCCATTTTTGTCTTCTATATACGTCTTTTCACTTATTCTTTATAAGTTTTCTTTATAAACAGAACAAAGTACAGGTTTGATGTAAGTTAACCTCGATTTAAATTGTTTAATGTATAGGTTATACATGAACTACCAAGTGTAGCCAATATAAGAAATACAATTATATTACAAAGAGATGTTATATTTTGCACCATTTTAAATAAAAAGTAAACAATCTAATTTTTTATTTATATTTAATGAATTTACAATTTTAGTACAATTTTATTATTTTTTTAAATTACATAATTATTATAATAGTAAATTTGATAAACATGTTTCTTTTTTAATTCTCCAATTAAATGATATAATTTAAATTTGAATTTGAAATTAATTTATGGCACATTTTTTATATATATATATATACTAATATTTATACAATAATAACACAAAGGTCTAAATTCTAAAGAATCACAGATAACATTTTACTATAAAGTTGGCACGAAAGACGTGACATATATAGTCACTTTTAATGTCAGAGTACATATAAAAATTAATTTTATCCTCATTTATACAAAATTTTACGAAAGTATAAAAATATAATACCTTACAAATTCAAATATTTTAATATTGTTACTATTTACATTAACTTAATAAAGGAATGAACATAATACTTGAATAGTAATAGCCTTTTTATGTCTAATAATATTATAGGCTATAATCTCTGAAAAATATTATTTAGTAATTAGTGTTCTGTATGCTTTCTCTATAATTTGAAGATTTTGGGAACTTTAACACATTGACTGGAACATTTTCTTTCATTGCTCTGTAGAAAAATATTAAATATATAATAATATTTAATATATAATAATGTGTAAATTCAACTATTAAACATTCGAAATTTTGAAATAGAAAAAAATAGGATATGAAATATAAATGTAAATTCTAAATAGCATGCATATAAAAAAAAATTTAGTAATGTATATAAATTTAGCCAACAATAGCAAATAATATATGAATATTTTGTTTTAAAATAGAAATCAATTACTTTTTATGTTCACATTAATGTGGTTAATTAATAATGTACACACATCCCCTTTGCATATAATAAATAAATGTAGCAATTGCATTCCAATAATTAAGCACCACTAAAAAAAAATTCTTGGTAGTCAAATTTTAAGCAAAGCATATTTAAAGAAATGTTCTTCTCACGGTTTTATATCTTTTTCTAAATTAAATTGTTTGTTGAATTCCATCATGGAAGTATGTTGTTGATTAGTTCTCTCTTTCATAAGTTCATTACATTCTGAATACAACATAGCCTGTGCTTCTTCTAATTCTCTTACTCTGTCCTCTAAATGTTTTATTTTCCGACATCGTGCACGACATACATCTCTTATTAATGCGTTTTCTTTTTCCAGTTTTGCTATTTTTAGATCATCCTGCACAGATATTATAATTGTTTTTTATGTAAAATTATTATATTTCTATTTACCTTAATTATTTCATTATTCATTGCAAAAAGTTGTGATGTATTATTTAACGTCGTTTGACAGGCTTGATTTCTCCGATTAATACGCCATCGTCTGCATATATCACATTCCCATGTGTTAATGTCATTTAGAGTCCTTTGAAGTTTTCTTACCTCAGAACTAAGATCAGCATTCTAAAAAAAAAATATGTAACTCATTTTAATTAATTTGATCAATTTTATTTTCTAAAAATACATTGAAAAAAATTGATATTATACACACTTTTTTATGAAATGTGAGCATATCTTCTTCTAATTCCTTACATTTTTGTAAATAAGGAAAATTTTCACTCTGAATTTGAGTTTCTAATGCCGAAATTTGTCCATTTTTTATTACTAGTTCTAATTCTAATTCCTGAATTTTCTTTCTTAATATTTGGCACGTTTGTGTGTATTGATCATAATCTGTATCAGTTGCTACATTTTCTAATTGTCTTCTTTGATTAAATATCTCATTTCTGCTACGTCTTCTTCTGTTATTTTCAAAAGCTGGACTAGTAGATCTTGAACTGTTACTATTGCTTTTTAGTTCCAGTTCATTTTGACATTCATCAAATTTCATTTGTAATTCTGAATTTTTTTTTCTTGAAATATCAAGGATTTTTTCATTGTGTAATTTTGTATCTTCTACCTGTTGCATGTTGGTTTGTGCTATTGTTTTAAATATTTGAAGTTGGTCTTTAAATTCTTCATTTTCTTTTTCTAGACTTGTTAATTTTCTTGTTAATTCATTAATTAATTTGTTTTCAGCTTGTTGCATGTACATTTTATCTTTTAAATTTGATAGTTCTTCATTACGTTCATATAAAATAGTGGTACATTCTCTTAATTGATTATCCAGTTCTCTCTTCTCAGTAACCAAATTTTTTATTTGACTTACATATTCTGCAATCTCTTTGTCTTTTTGTGTTAGTAATAATTTTTTACCTTCTAATTGTAATGCGATTTTATTTTTTTCTTGAAGAAGTACATCATATTTGCTTTCTTCTTTTAATAAATATGAAGTATTTTGTTTGGATTTGCATAATGATAACATCTTTTTTAATTCAATACTTTCTTGAGACAGTAATTCATATTGACTTTTTAAATTAACTAATTCTTTGAAAGTTTTATTTTTGCTTTCTTGCAGTTCAATTATACGATTGCTTGCACCTTCTAAATTATTTTGCAATCTTTTGTTTACATCCTTCAACTCTTCCATCTCTGCTTCAACTTTCACTTTACTTGTACTATTTCTAATCTTCTTTTCTAATTTAACATTTGTTTGTTGCAACTGTTCACACTTCTCTTTTAAATTATCAAATTCTTCTATTAAAACAATATTTTTACTATTTAATTCATTTAACTGCTTATTCAATCCAACATTTTTTATCTCTTCCAAATTTAATTTGTCTTTGACTTCTTCAATTTGTTTCTTCTTTTCCATCTTCAACTGTTCTATTTCTTCTTTGTATCGTTCTATACTTTCTTTTCTTTCTTGAACTTGATTTTGTAATATTTCATAGTCTGGCATGATAGTTTCTAATTTCATTTTATATTCGGATAACATATCACATTTATTTTTCAAAAGTAGTGTAATGTTTTGAATTTTAGATGTTTTTTCTTTCATTTCGCAATTTAATTCATTATAAGCTTGTCTAAGTTCTTCAAAATCAAGTGTAATTTTATGAATGTTTTGATTTTTTACTTTCAGTTCTAAAGAATTTGCTTCTATAATATTTTTCAATTGTTTTTCATTAGCTTCAAGTCCTTCAATATTATTTTTCATTTCTATATTTTTTGTTTTATAGATTTCTATAGTGCAAATTAACTCTTCTATTTTCTTTTCATATCGCTCTTTTTCACATTTCATTTTAGATTGAAGTTCAATTTCTTTACATTTAAGAGCTTCTTTCTCTCGTTTTTGTGCAATAATAATTGTTTCTTCTTTTTGTTGAATATCTGTTCTACACTGTTTGTCAAATTCGTTTTGCAAATTGTTGAAATCAATTTCTAATGTTTTAATTTCTTCTTTGAGTATTTCCTTTTCATAATTATTTTCTTTTATAGAGTGTTTTAACTGATCAATTTCATCTTGTTTTTTCATACATAAACTCTCTGCTTTTTTAAAGTCAGTGTGTAATTTTTCATTTTCTGTTTCCAATTCTTTAGCCCATAACATCATACGTTTTTCAGCATCTACACATTGTTGTTTCTCGTCTTCTAATCTTTGTTTGTCTTTTTCGAATGATTCGTTCATTTTTTTAACTATTTCTTCTTCTTTCAACATAATAGTTTGTAAAAAGATGTTGAAAATTTCGTTTATAGTTTTATTTGAAAAATCTACAGAATGTGATATACATTCAAATGAGTTTAATTCTTTGATCATAGATTCTTTAACAGTATCTTCACAATGTAAGTTTCTTTGTTTTTCTAAATCTATTTTAAGTTTTTCTATATTTGATTTTAATTCATTGATTTGCAGTTTTTCTATTTCTATACTTTTTTGTTTCTCTTCTTTTAATTCGTCACATTGCTTTCTTAAAAGTTTTAATTCATCTTTATATTTACATTCATTTTTTTCAATTAAAATAGTCAATTCGTTCTTTTGAGTAGTTATTAAATCTAATTCGTGTTTAAATGATGATATACATTTGTTTAAATCATCGATTGTTTTATTTAGTTGAATAATAAGATTATCTTTGTTTTCATTTTCAAGCTTTAATTCTTCTAATTCTACTTCTAATGTCATTTTTTCACTCTGCATTATTTTCTCCATCGCAGAAAACTGTACAATTTCTTTATTCATATATGACAATTCATTTTCAAGAATTTGAACTCTCTCTGTAGCTTTAGATATTGATGTCTCTTTATCTGCCACTGTTTGTTGTAATATTTCATTATTACTTGTTAAACTACTAATTTTGTCCAATAATTTTTCTTTTTTTGTTTTATACAAAGAAACAAAATGTGTACTACTCTTCTTTATTTCATCTATATCGTTTTTCAGTTGATCGATATTATTTTGAAGATGCTCGATTTTCTTTGCATTATCTATTGCACTATGAAGTTTTTCAAGTTTGTCACATTTTTCTTTATATGAAATTGAAAGTTTATCATGGTCATCTTTTAAAGCTTGTAATTCGTTATTTAAATGGTGAACTTTTTCTTCTATAAAACTTACATTCATTCTATCTACAAAACTGGCATTCAAGGATGGGTCAGAAAAACTTAAATTCAATTCTTGATTAACCTTAAGTTTTAATGTTTCAGTATCTGCACATTTACGATCAAACTTTTTTTGTAAGTCTTCTAATTTGTGATTTAAAATTTTTGCTTCAAGTTTTAAAGCTCTACGACTTTCACTTACATTCTTTAAATGTACACATTGACCACAAGATGATAATTTTAAATCACTTAATTTTTTATTTACACGAGATAGATGTGTAATTTCTTTTTGTAGCATCATAATTTTATTTGACAGTTCTTCGTAATTTTCATTTGATACTATTTTTTTTATAGTTTCATTCGGTTTTTCAGGACCATTAGGTGCAATAGATGAATTATCATGTACTTTTTCATTGTACGAATTATCAAAATTTCCCATACTTTCTAATAAATTATTAGAAAATTTTGCATTTTCATCAGTTAATATTGTTATTCTTATTCCTAATTCTGCAATTCTAGCTTTCAAAATATTGTTTTCTGACCTTAATTTCTCTATATCATTTTCATTAGAATCCATGTTTCTTATTAAAGTTATTTTATTATCTAAAATATCGCACTGTTCTTTCAATATATCATTTTCCTCAATTTTGTTTATTAAATCAGTAGAAAGTTCATTATTTTCTTTTATCAAATATTCATTTTTTTCTGTAAGTAATGTGACTTTATCTTTATAAATACAGTCATGATCATATAATAGTGCTTTACTTTCTTTAATATTTTCAAGTTCCTTATTTTGATTTGCAATAATAGCTGATAAATCAATATTTTCTGTTTTTAATGCTTCAATTTTATTCTGATATTTAATAAGTAACTGCTCATCATCGCATTTTTCTGATGTTTTTGAACGAAACGATTCCAATTGGTCATTCAAGACTGTTATGTGGTTTTCTAAATCAATCTTCTCTTCCGTAATTTTTGAGATCTGTGTATAAAGTTTATTGATTGTTTTCTGAAAGTTTAATTCGGTTTCTTTAGCAAGTTCTTTTTCAACACATAATTTGTTTGACATTTCCATATTTTCATTTGTCAATAAACAAATAGTTTTTTCCAACTTTTCTATATCTAATTTAATACTTTGAACGTCAGGTTTTATTTCATCCTTTAATTGTATTACAAAATTTGGAGAATATTTGTCAATTTCATCATTTTTTAAATCAGAACAAGTAAACAATTTATTCGCTTGTTCCTCCATATTCTTGTAAAAGGTGCAAAATTATAAAAAAAATATATATATACATATATAGAATTAAAAAAAACTAAAATTATAACACACACATAGATGGCAATTGCACTTACATGTGTGTAACAATGCTCTTCTTCATATGTCAATTGTTTTTCCAAAGTTGTAAATTCACGAAGTTCATCAAGCTCTGTTCTCAAATCCACAATACATTTCCGTAAAACTTTTTTTGGCGTAGAAGGAGATACTTCACTGCTGTTGTAGATAAGAGGAAACTCTAAGTTACAATGGATAATATTTTGATAATAATTACATAGATACCTAGAAATTTGCATTAAAGACTCTTCCGTTCCAGATTTTAGAAAAAAATATTTACTTCCCATACATTTAACATGTTTATTTCTATCATCATTTTTTTTTATTTCATAATCTGCTTCATGATCAATTATTTCATGATCACTTGCTTCTGATTCAAGATCTTCCTGAAATGCTGAAAGTATAAAATAAGCTAAATTTTCATATAATTGTAAACATTGAAAAGAGCAAATTGTACAATGTAATAAGTTTACTTTGATTTATGTCAATTGATTGCATAATGTTTTTTTTATGTGGTTTCTCGGGTGAAATTTCTTTTATTGTTGGTAAGCAAGTTTGAGTATAAAATATAGGTGAATACGGTTTGACCATTCCAGGATTATAATAAATTTCTCTTCTTTTAGACTTATAATTAACTGGTTTTTCATCATTTTTTACATGTCCAGAAATAATTTGAGTTTTTAATAATTTTATATGTTCTTCTAACAAGTGACATTTTTGTTGCACCTTATTAGATTCTACTTCTTCTACATCTATAGATGAGTTTCCATTTTTTATTCGCTAATGAAATAATTTCAATATATCATAGTAATTGTGATGAAAAAGTTAGTTAATTTTTAAAATTAAATTACTGTTAATTATACAAACCTTTAGTTTTATTCGTTTTGCATAACAAAGAGGTGATACATCAGATGTAATTTTATCCTTTTGTGGTTTGGTTTTAACCTTTTTAGCTTTAGTTGCGAACCTAAATATCAAGGAAACTGTTCTAACACATATAAAGTTATAAATTACATTGTAAAAAGTAGCATACTAACGATAAAGTGTACCATGTTTCCTTTAAAGCAACAGGTGTCACTGTACATATTACTGCTATCAAAGCATTGCCACTTAATGATGATTGTAGCAATTCTGTTAGTTTACTATTGTGATAATCAATGTGTTTCTGGTTATTTTGTGACATCTGTGTAATTATTGATTCTAGAGTAAGAAGAGATATATCAGTTTGATGTTCTTCAATAGCTTCAGTCCACTGAGTTTTTGTAAAACCAGCAAGATCTACCAAATTTAATTGTGATAATTGTACAATATTCTTTGAATCCTCTTCAATTCCTTGACTTTCAATTATCTAAAAGAAAAAAAAATGTCGCTCTGTTCCATTAAATATAATAAAATATATGTAGTAATATAAAAGATTTTATGCAGTCTTACAATTTGAAATATGTTATGGCTACCAATATGTTTATTCTTATTTTCTTCTATCCTCTCATTTTTAATTCCTTTTTTCATTATAGACAACATGTCATTTGAAGAATTTGTAATTTTTTCTGTACAGTTAACAATTATTTGTCCATTATCTTTGTATAATTTTAAATCAATCTGATTCTTATCTAATAAGTCATTTATTTTCTCATCATGAATTTCTAAATAGGATACCCTAAAAACAATAAATATCCTTCTCATCATTTCTCAAACATTACAGACACAATCTATAATACAAACCTCAATAAAAATTCACGTTGAATGACATTTGAAATAGCATCAAATATATATTCAACAGTAAGTGGTATTATTCCTGGATCTTCTGAAGTACCTATCATTGTATATGTTTTACCAGAATCAAACTGACCATAACAAAATACTGTTCCGTTGAAACCATTTATAGTAGCATCAACAATAGGTTTAACAATATTGTCAAATACTTTAGAATTTTTTGTATTTACATCAAAATTATAATCTGTAAATAAAGTATTAAAAATAAGTAATATAACAACAACAACAAAAAACATTACAGTATCGTAATAAGAAAAATGCATTTAATACTTCATATATTTCTCTTATTGTGTAATGCATTTAATACTTTATCTATTTCTCTTATTGTGTACAAATAATAAATACCAATTATCCAATGATTTATAGCAAGAATATTTAATGTAATTGAATACATTAACAAACAATTACTGATTAATCGTTTGTGATGAGTAATGGAACTTCTACATTTTTTCTAATTTTCTTTGCCAGTGAAAATATGTTATTGAATGAAAAATGACAAGCAGGTTATAGTCCGGTATAAGTACTTTTGTACGTAGGAAGAAATAGAGGTTGAGACAGCGTTGAAACCATTGACACATACCAAAATGAAATTCGTTATCGTTCCATTTACTTATCTTTTGCTCTAACGAAACAATCGAGTTTTCTTTTACGATCCATTGCATCGACAAATTTTCATCTAGCTCCTGTTGCGTCGGAGGTCTTAGTTTAATTCCCACCTTAACATCGCTTAACATTTTGGCGACGATTTGGCAACGATATTAAACGAGACGGCATAGAAATTTTGAATGAAATTTTTTCACGTGGTCACTTCGCCTATAATTTGCTTTTTATGTCTTTTCAGCCTCGTTACATGTTGCCCCTCAAATCGCAACTGCCATTTAAAATGACGACTGCTTTAATGCTCATTTAAATTTAAATTTCCTACAGTCTGATTGGTTTAATCGAGCATGCAGTGCAATAAGCAAGAACGTGATAAGACTAGAATATTTGAATTTCATATTCTGAATATATAATACATTTGGATACTGTACATTTTAGAATAGTATACGCGTTTAATGAATTATTTAATGCATTCTTTGATGATTAATTGCAATGTGAGCGCGAGTTTGGAATTAAATCGATCGAAATTTAAGTACAGTTAAGTACAGATAAATCGTCGTTTTTTTGCGTAAGTTGTAGATTTTTGTAACAAGAAGTACATACGAAAGCGAATCTTAAAAAACAAGGTTTATTTATATTATTACGTTCATTTTCCGACTTTGTCGTCATTGCTCGCCAGTTCAAATTTGTGACTTTTATATCCAATTATCAGTTCGATACTATCGAATCTTTAATAAAATGATATCGATAGTAGTGTCTGCTACTATTGTTGATTGAAAGCGTTCTGTTTGTAAAACATTAATTTCTCGACGTAGAAAAATACCAATGTATCTACATCTTCAATTGTAGTAGATTATTTTGGACCTGCACTGTACTAGATATATTTTTCGAAAGAACAGTTTTTGAAAACTCGCTTTATAAATGTTGCATAGGTTAGAATTTATTAAAATAAAATATCTTCTAATATATTTTACGGTACTTTGAATATTATTGGAAAAAATTCTAACAATGAGTTTAAATTCTAAATTTGAAAGATTTTTACTTTTTTCTTTTTATTTGTTTTATCCAGAAAGGAAAAATGAGCAATATCAATGATCATTAATTACTCTTCTTTTTTTAAATTTAAAAGGCACAAATATCGCAATGGACCGTGGCAAGGCAGGAATTGGTAGAGGTGCAAAAAGTAAAATTGCACAACATCCCTCTGATCTGTTCGCACTTGGATCCAAAAGCTCTCGTAATGAAAGTTCTGATGTTAAAAGACCAGGTGTTATTCACTCTAAACCAAGTAGTAGTAATACTTCAACTTCTGGTAAATGAAACGTTGTTCTTTTATGTATATACATAAACAAACGTTTAAATATAATATATTATATGTTGTAGGAAATGATAGGAAAAAGGAAGCACCATCAGGATCACTTCAGTCTTTTCAATACATCCCACAGAAGAAACCTAAACTTGCAACGCATGTCTCTCATCAGCGACCACCATTCTCAAGCGCTGAGGCTTGGGAATTGGTAGCTATAGATATTGATCCAGCAGATTTTGTCCCAATGGTTCTAGAAGCTAACGACAATGATGAAGGTGACAAAGTTATAGGCATTATTTGTGGTGCCATAAAAACGCTTAAAAATCAAAAATGGAAACCTGATACATTGGTTTACATGGGACTGTTGTACTTAGCAAAAATTCGCCCTTCCATGTTTTCAAATGATTGTATATTACATGCATTATCCTCTTTATTAAAACGGGATCAAGGACATAATTATAAAACAAAAGGAAACCCATTAGTTCCTGTACTTGCAGCTAATTTGTTAATGAAGGGATTTCATGATAAAAGGAATTGGCCAGAAATCTTTGTCAAGGTTGCTTGAATGTCTACATTACATTAATAATTATTAGTACTGTGTAACAATTTAATTTTTATTGTTCTCTTTATAGCTATACATTGAGGATGCTTTGGGTGAAAGAGTATGGGTTGATCACGAAGAATGCAAAGGTTTTGTAGATAATATTTTAACAGGATTTAATACAAGGCATCCACCAAAAAGTGTCCTACAACCAGAGCTATCTGTCTTAACACCACGAGATTGTCATAGTCCGTCTATAGTTGATGATGATGATCCAGGATCTTCATCTGTACAGTTTTCTGGAGATAAAGAAAAAATCGAATTTCCTGTTACTCCTAGATATGCTCATTGTATAGATAACATAGAGTTTATTGTTCTTGAAGCTGTGAAAGAACAATTAAACAGACGGCAACCAGAATCAATTACGAAAAATTTTTTAAAATTACTTTCTTCAGCCTGTGGTTTTGTAGAAATCCGAAATATCGCCGTGCCAAGATTGGAAGTATGGTTACACAATCCGAAATTAATGAGACCTGCTCAAGAATTACTGAGCTACATTTGTTACAATTGTACTTCCCACACGCAAAGAGACGTCGAAGTCATAAGTCAATTAGTAAAAATGAGATTGAAAACTAAAGCAGTAATTAATCTGTATTTGAATGGTGTAAAGGAATTAATCGGTCTGCATCCTGAAAATTTGTCTACTATCTTAAAACATACAATTTACAATGAATTATCTAATGCAAGAAATCCAAATAATATGCCAATGCTAGGTGTAATGTTTCAAACTTTACCTGAGCAAGCAGCTAAATTACTTGCAGAAATATTTCAGGATTTATTAATGAACCGAGAAGATTACCTTAGACCTTTGCGTGCACTGCTCAGAGAAATCATACGTGTTTGCCGGCATGATATTAATTTACTTATCTTTGCACGCACGTTGATGTCTGAAAGACAGGATATAGCGCAACAGTTGCTTAATTTTGAATTCAAAGAACGAGTCTTCATTTCAATTGCAGATTTATTGTGCTTATGTATGTTACTAGCTATCAGCCCACAAGTTAAAGAAGCCGCGGCATTAGCACAAAGAGGTGACAAAAAAGATATAGCTTTATTACATCAATTTCAGAACATGGTAGCGACAATACAATTCGAAGCCGTGTTATGGCTACAGAATTCAGCGCCACAGATGTATGCTATTGGAAAAAATGAGCTCCTTCATGCTTTACATAAAATCTTACTGCTTGAACCACCAGAGCAGTACTATAAATTAGATAATTGGCCGCCTGAATCTGATAGAGTGTTTTATTTACGCCTTATTTCGGATGTTCCATTATTACAGAATACATTGTTAAGACTGCTGCTGATTGGTTTTTCAAAAGTATGTATCTGCAGTGATAAATTTATTCGTTTCTAGAATATCTTTTTAACATAATAGTTTAAGTGTTTTATACTCTTTGTTTTAGGAAAATGGCATTACTCATTCAGAAACGTTAGATCTAGTAGATCAGTTAATTAGGCGAGCGGCAGCTAATTCCACTGAGAGTTTCCCAACACTACAAGCTGACAAATTAGATATAATTGAACTTATTTTTAACTTGTGTATTTATCAACCACCAGGAACTATAAACATACCGTCAAGGTATTTACAGATTGTAGTAATATTAGAAATTTAACTAATTCAATAGAAACATATTAATTATTTATTTATTTTCTTACTTTTATTTAGCTATGTACCACCTACTTTGGCGATATCAAATTTATACTGGAAAGGATGGATAATGTTATTAATACTGGCTGCTCACAATCCTTCTACTATTGGTGCAGTTGCATGGAAACGATATCCCATTTTACGAACTTTGATGGAAATGTGCATTACGAAGTATGTTGAAATTTTTATACAATCGCGCAGAGAAAAATACTTATATTCTTTTTCAATAGATTTCTTTTAATGTGTCATTCCTTTGTAGCCATTTCTCCTATCCACCACCAACGATGGCATTGCCAGAAATAATAGAGCAAGAACGTTCAAAAGAATTGCAAGTCGAAGCTATAGAAAAACAAGAAATATTAGAATATGAATCGCACTTAGCCGCTGCATCTACAAGAATACAAATATCAGAACAAAACAGCTTACTACTGTCGCAATTGATGACTATGGAGCCAACTGGTATTGCTAGAAGGCCACCTCCAGCGGTGTTAGAACAAATACAATCATTAAATGTGTCTCATAGATTGGGACATCTACTTTGTCGATCTCGTAAACCAGATTTCTTATTAGATATAATACAAAGGCAACAACAAAGTTCGTCTCAGAGTATGCCATGGCTAGCAGATCTTGTACAAAATAGCGAAGGATCTCTTAGTCAATTACCTGTACAATGTCTTTGTGAATTTTTATTGTCCACTAGTACTCAAGCTGTGGAGAAACAACCAAGACAGCAACAATTATTAGCTCATCTTCAAATGTTATTAACCGATCCCGAACAGGATCGACAACATGCCTACGAGGTTTTAGAATATTTCTTAAGAAGACTGAGCAGTCAACAGACTGGCAGTCGCCTCCAAGCAATTACAGGTTTAAAGATGGTACTTGGATCAATACCTACCGAAGAAGAACCCATGGATATAGATGGAGAGAATGAAAAGTAATCTAAAAAGTACACTTTTAATGATATTTATTCAAGCTAGAACCTAATACGAACTGTTCATTTCAGGGAAATCTGGCTTCTTCGTAAATTACCGTCCATACCTCATTTCTTATCAGTACGATCTTTAGTTTCTACTGCTCTTCGTGGTGCGTGTCAAGTCGAAAATAATCCAGATCTTGTGCACGCGTACATATCTTATCTTTCTGCGCATACTACGGACGATGATTTACCTGATTTAACCGATTTGGCTAATGAAATATCTCAGTTGGTAGTCGAGCGAAGTACAATTATAGCGGCTATTCTACCACAACCAGAAATTGACAATCCACAAGCTAAACAGACTTTGCATGCGTTCATGGTGATTTTTTGCAATTATTTAGAGAAAGCTCGGTCTCCACGAGCAGAAGAATATACGTGGTCCGAGAGTCAAGATCAGATATTAGTACAATGGAGTACAGGAGAAGAATGCACTATGCATATTTTAGTTGTCCACGCTATGATAATCTTATTAACGTACGATTCCGATGACGATGTATTGTTTGATATTTTACTTGAAACTTGGTTTCCACTAAATACAGAGCCACCAAAAGCTTTCCTCGTTGATACAAGTGAAGAAGCTTTACTAATACCAGATTGGTTAAAACTAAGAATGATCAGAAGCAACGTACCACGTTTAATTGATGCAGCTCTTAAAGATTTGGAGCCGCAACAATTGGTCCTTTTTATTCAAAGCTTCGGTATTCCTGTCCCTTCAATGACTAAATTATTGCACACATTAGATGCGGGCGTGCAAATCGACCCAAGTTCAGTTGGCGAAGCAGTGCTCGATAAAACATACATGGCACAATTAGTTGAAGTGCAGCACAGAAGAGGAGCAACAGGTGGGTTAGTTTTTGTACAAGTTTTGCAATTGATGGAGCCAGAATTACCTGATGAGAATGCAGTAACTATTGGACAATTACAAGAATCTTTACCACTAAGTGCTATAGTTCAAAAACAGTCTGTTATACAATCTTCTATTAAAACGGATGTTCCGCATTTGATTAATAGATTATTTATCGAAAATATACCAATGAATCAAAAGGTAGACGCATATCGCCGATTGCATAAAACCTTGGCAAAGGACTTGCAGAAATCTACCAAAGAAAGTGGAGCCGTTGTTTTAGCAATACAACATATATGTAGTGTATTAAGTTCAATGCAAGTTAAACAATTCCTAGCATCACTTGTTCATATGCCTCAATATTCTTGTACTCTGATGCGAGTAATATTGTTGCCTTTAAAAAAGTCATCGACTTCGAAGCAAGTGGTCGAATTAGCTCGTAATATGTGTTTAAACTTGATACAATTGATAGGCGATGTGAAAGCTCCAGTTCTGTCTATTTTAAGAGACTTTGCAAACGTGCAATTAACCAAAACACCAAAGAACATGGAATTAACAATATTGATGCAAAATCGTGATCCTGGATCTATATTGGAAAGTACAGATCCAGTAAATTTAGAAGCAGTTGGACGTAAATTATTAGACATTTGTTTGAAGCAACAGAAAACTGATATTCTTGTTGAAGCGATGGCACGATTATTAGTGAACGACAGTAACGAAGGTATTTTAAAGCCACGAACCGGTTTACTAATTGACTGGTTAGCATCTGTTGAGCCAGAATTAATTGGGACATGTCCCACTCTGCAAATGAAACTTTTATTTGGAAAAACAAAGATACAAATGAAAATTGATAATAACGTTATGAGCTCTCATTCGTTTAGACCTTATTTGTTAACTTTATTGACACATAGAGCAAGCTGGGCAACTTTGTATAAATGTGTTGGACATTTGTTAGATAAATGCGATGATGGGTAAATAAAAAATAATTTAAAAAATATACATAATTTAAAAATATATATAAAGGTAATGAAATATTATTTTTATAGGTATGATCCGACAGCTGTTTTAGATTTCTTGTGGGCATTAACTTGCAATCCAAAACTCTGGCAAGGCAGAGATAAATTCACGCCAAAACATTATGTTCCAGAAAATATTTTGCTTTTACATGAAAAACAATTATTGACACTCGTAGCATATATAGTTGCAGAAGCTGTTATTATACATAATTGTCAGAGTAGAAACATTGCGCTTGCTCGAATGGATTCACGTCTTGATTTATTATTACATTGTATTTCTACAGATGATCATTTAGTTGCCAATGTTGTAAAATATTTGGCTGAACGTATGATGAACGACTCAAAGTACGTTTAATTTAATATAGCGTTAAGTTTTCTGTTTATAAAGTATCTTTTAAATAGTTTTATTTTTTATCTTTTAGCGTTGATTCCGATATGGTCCATCAGTTTTTGTTACACATGTACATGAAAATACCTAAAGTAATATGTTATTTAGATACATTTCAAACTAAAAAATTTGTCGGAGGAGCAAAGATTACAGAATGGACGGGTTCTGTATTGGATTGTATGAGTCATTCTTTGTTAACTGCCTTAGCAGCAACACCGAGACAAAAGTCATGGAATTCCAGGTCTCAAGACTTCGAATTATGTGCTCGAAAAATGGCTGCTGTACATCCTATTTTAGTTTTGCGACAGCTTCCAATGTTAGCGTCGTCATTAATGGGAAGGTCTTATTTGGATTTTAGTCAATTTAGAACAGGACATCATTTAAATCTTTTTGTACAAATAATGGGATTACTAGAGTTATTACAACCGCATTTGTTTAGCGAAGAACATCAGACTGCTTTGGAAGATACATTAGAGAATTATTTTCAATGTTTCCAAGTGTGTAAAGGAATATTTGCGCGTATACACGAATATTTAATTAATATAAATTAAATTAAAGATTATTAATGAATTTAATTTTCAGAATTATGGCCCTGTAAAAGATCTTATACCACTCTTAAATAGATTTATTACGTTACTACAAGCATACATCTCTTATAATGCACAAAGGGCGTTGAAATATTTGCAAAAGTATGCTCAGGCTCTACAGTAAGTAATACTTGTAATCTCTTCTAATCAATTTCAGATATCAGCTTACACTTACATATAGTGAATTACAGGTACATTATCCAAATTTAGTTACACTTAGAACGCTCGTATCAGGCATTCCAATGCCAAGAGAAGGAGAAGATATAGAGGAGATTTTAATTACTGTTCCTCCTACTCCACCTCCAGAATCTATTATTCCACAACATTGGCCATCATTGTTAACTACATTATCTAAACTGCAAGGTGAAGGTATGATTGGAAACTATGTTATGACTTCAGTTGAAATTTTGTTACAATGTTAGAATATATAAATTTTAATATTGTGCTTTAGATGTATTTAGTGCTCTTCAAGAAATTGAACACTTATCATCACGAAAACCATCGGTTTTGGAATCTATAACAGACAATATAGCGGAATTGCTTATATCTCCGCAAAGTAACATAAGATCTCTTGCGCATACATTACTAGCAAGAGCATTAAAACATCGTCCTGCGTCAAATGCAAATATCTTATCCGCATTTCAAAGATGCTTGGACAGTTCTAGAGCTGATATATTAATGTCAGCTCTAGAAAAATTACCAGAAATTGTATTATGTATGCAAGGTATATTTCCCTTCTTATTTTAATCTTTAAATTATTTTAATAATTTGCATTATAATTTTAATAAATTATATTTTATTTTAGAACATGCTTTACCACTAATGCAAAAAGTATTTGAATTAGGAGTAAATTCAAATGTGAATACTATACCATATATAAATAAAACCATTGCTCTTTTAAATACACAGCAAGGTTGTTAATATTATGAAAATTGTAATTTTATATTTTGTATAAATTGAAATAAAAAATTTTTTATAGAAAAACAGTCATGGCATTTATTTTATCTTTTCAAATAGTAGCACATTTTATTAAAATAATATTACCAAAAAAATTTTGTACTTATAAAAAATAAAATTAATTAAATAGCTAAATAGCAAAATTTACAATTAAATTGTTTCTTATTACACTACAGGTATATTACAAGTAATAATATTAATATTAATATTATATAAATATTGTACAATAAACTACAAAATATATATTACACAAATGCTTCAGGTGGCACGTTGTTAACTGTATACATATTCATAAATGTTGCAATGGCAGTTCTAATATCCCAGTTGGCATCTTCAAGATATTGATGACAAAATTTCATGTTCATTGTAGTTATTTCATGTAAAAATATAAGTAGTTGTTCTTTCTCAGAAACACTAAACACTGTTGGAATAAATTTCGGGGCACCTTTTGATTCAAACTTTATTTCACTGTTTCCTAGCAAAGTATTAGCAGGTGTTCCATCCAAATAACATTGGTCATTAGTGATGCAATATTCATTATCTTCTTTCTTCATAATTATGAAAGTTCTATTGAAAAACATTGGTGGACATTGATGAATGTCTCGGAATGAAAACATTCCTTGCACAGAAATTGCAAGGTGGATCTCTCCTTCATATAATAAATCTACATGAAATGTTTTAAAGTGGTGTATAGTAGATGGTTGATTCCTGAGTGCAGAAATGATCTTTTCTGGGCCACGTAATAAAAATTCTTGACACTTTGCATAATCAACGAATTTTAGTAAATTTCTGTTTGTAACAAACGTTTTAGTTAATTGTTTGTGAATATAATTTGAAATAGGTCCTAGGCTCATAGAATAAAGTGCATCTCTATCATATAAACCATTTATCACTTGCCTATCATTTTGATCATATAATGTGAAATAATGCTTCACAAACTGTTTGATCAGACAAGTACTGGTACCATCTCCTAGAAAATTACTTTGGATACTAGGAACAAACTTCTGCTCCATACCTATTACAATCCCATCCAGTTTTTGTAAATGAGGAAAAACATTCTTTACTGCTTGTACATAATCTTGACACTTGCTGTATTTTGTACATAATGGATTTCCATCTAACCAAAGTTCACTTATTTTAAACTCACTGAAATAGCGTAAGTATTCTACATCTGCAATTTGATTGTGACGTAAATCTAATTTGGTTAAATGATAATTGAAGAACTTCTCAAAAAAGACAATTCTTGTAATTTCATTGTATCTTAAACTCAGTTCTCTAATAGGTAATCGTGAGTCACGATTATTGCTTAAAATACCCATTTTAGTACATCTTAAAACAAAGTGTAATACTTTAGGTAAAGATATGGGACAATATATAGAATTTAATGATTTTTCATTTTCAAAGTCATCAAGGTTCAACACTTTTTTTGTAGGCTCATATCTATAATAAAGTGCCTGTGCTATAATTCTATTAGGATTCAATTGTAAATTTTGGGAATCTGTATATCCTAATATGATATCAATACGTAATTCTTGTCCATTTGATAAAGTTATACATAAACCTTGCTTTACAAGATTTTCAATAGCACTCGAGCTACATTTTGTAAGGAATGTACATTTGTTAGGTCTTTCTTTTTTGTACATAACAGGCAATATAATTTCAGGCTCACAAGCAACAATAACAGTTCTTAATATTTCTGTTGCACTATATTGTCCTACGTTAAACAAAATGAACTTATGCCATAAATCTTGACGTGCTGCCAAAGCTGATTCTTCATTATTAAATGATGGTTTAATATGCGTCAGTCGTAACGGTTCCCAATTTTCAACAACTTCTGTTTTTGCCATTATTCTTAAACATGCACAATTAGTAATAATTGAATTCATACAGCTTATTTCATAATAAAATTGAACATATTGACATTATTTTGCAATATGATTACTTCATAATACGATTCAATGAATTAGTCTCAAAATACTAGAAATTAAATATAAGAAAGACAAAGAATTTTATACAACTAATGAAAAAGTGATTTCTTTGTGCAATTGTTCAGACATACGAAAAATTATTCAGACAAATCATTCTATGCAAAAAACAATTACATCGTGAAAAAACATTATTTTTTCAACAATTTTATATAAATGCTGGGTTTTATAAATTTTCGTTAATGAATATTTCAGTTATAAATACTGAATAAGATAAATTTTTTGTAATACTTTTTTGTACATTCATTACCATTTTGTATTTCAACAGATCTTGTATTAAATGTAATATAACTTATAAAAAATTTATTTATGCCTTAACATTTAAAACTTTAAAAAAAGTATCCCATTATATATAGAACGCTCCTTAATTTTAATAAATCAAACTTCAGCTGTACGAATTATTCTTCTTACATTAGCTTGCATTCAATTTTATTGTATCTACAATAATAAAGTTGTTTGACAATTGTTTCAAAAACCAATATGTGCTTAATTTTTATAATGAAGTAAAGCGACGTGGGGTTGCGTGATTTAAGCATTGACTAACGGTAAGATAGACCAGACATACAATAGGTCACAGACGAGATATAAAAATAGACATTGCATCTTACTAGACTTTCATGACTCGTGACCTGAAATACCGACATAGTAAAAAATGACTGGACTTTCGCGTACACTACGTTTAAACCATGATGAACTGAGGAACTCCATTAAGTAAAACGATGAATTGGGAAACTCCATTAACCCGGGATTATCCACCTGGGGGTCTAGCGCAGGTACATCCCGGCGACTAGACCCTCACGTGGGTAATCCCGGATTAAGTAAAACGATAGAAGTTCGGCAAGTAGTGAATGCCTCAAGAATATGATTTTTGAAACTTAAAGATTTTTCGATATAAAATTAGAATTTCCAGCCAGATGTACCATCTTGTTCACGAGATATTCTCGTTCAAAAATTTTTTGAAAAACCTCTATCGGAAGAACCGCTTGACGGCGGACTATGTTATGCCACTTCCTCGAATCACATGTTTTTCTAGTACAAAATTGGGATTTTCAGCCAAACGTTCGTTCTCGTTCCCGAGATATTTCCGCTCAAAAATTTTTCAAAAAACCTCTGTATTAAGAAAATCTTTCTCACCGGCAGGCTTTGTCGTGCTAATGTCTAATGACGCTAGACAAGGAGAGCAACAGTGTGCGAGAAGGACATCCTTCGATCTATTGAAAAAAAAATTTAACTTCTTACACACACGTTTTTCTAGGACGAAACATACATGGAATGAAAGCGGGGAGTCTAATTTTAAGGAGGCATATAAAAAAGTTTGCAAATTATTCCTCTTGGGTTTTTTCGTAATTAGTGCGAACTATCACAAAATGGACATGGTGGCGCCATCTAGCGGTAACTCTATGGTACTAATTATTTACAGAAATATTTATTTCTGCATTTTACGGGTCAAATGGGGTATGAAAAGAAAGTTAAGGGTCTAATTTGGATAATACAATCGCCAAAGTTCATAATTCATTTCGCTAAATTAGGTATTTTCGCAGATGAAAATTTGTTTTACGGAATTGTAACGACCGTTACACCTTCAAAATTAACATCAACGCCATCTACGCAATCGTTCTGTCGAAAAGTACGATTCATGTAAATCGACACCGCAAACTGTAAATTGTTATTCTATTTTTATTATCACTATGGAGATGTTATTACCTTGTTTACTTGTTAATAGAAATGTATATATAAACTCCATTTTAGAATTATTCATTCCTTAATTAACATTTGTAGAAAACAGTTATCTATAAACTTTATTGTTATATAATTTATTATAATATATATTAAATAAATAATATAATATATTAAAAGTAACTAAAGTCACGAAGTTCTTATTTATTTGTAGTATTATAATATTATCATTATAATCACTATACGGTTGTAGCGACCACCTATAGTTCCTCGAGTACGAGTTTCGAACACCAACTTGTACAAGCCGCAAGTGGCTGTGCGCCTAGCGTCGAAGTCAACCGATATTCGATGTTAAGCAAACAGAGTGCGGAACCGCTAGGATGGGTGGACCATCCTAGCGAATAGTTACAACAACAAGCGTCTGGGGTAAGGAGTCGCTGCCATCAGCCCCACTGATGAGTCTAGGCAGCGACTCTGAGACGAAACGCACAACCTTTCCTCACCTTACCCACATCATCACTTCCTACGTTATCCTCGCATTATCATCGCCATTTCAAATCCCTTCACGGTAAGAAACACAGGCGCCGCGTTGTGGCAGACCGGTGGAACTAAACTTTACTAAACTTTACAACCACATAAGGGGAATAATTAATTTTAATATTTCACGCTACAAATTTGTTCTGCACAAGCACATATTTCAAAGATGATGCTATCAGTCACATTCGCAAATAAATCTGAATCTAATATTCACTATAATTTGCGCGAAATTAGGCACTCAAGCCTGGCACTACTGCTAACGTAAACGAAATTGAAATATTCTTTATATACGTAAACTATACTTACTAAACATAATACGCAATTTTAGGGTCTCTAAAATCAAAGACGCAACCATAACAGTTCACAAATTAATTTCTTCTCATAATTTGTGGAAATACTGTCACCTGTCAATGTTTAGAGGCACATGTGGCGCCATCTATTGATAGCTCGATGGTACTAAAAGTAGAAAAATCTGTTTTTACCCCATAAAACAGAGAAATTTTCATTTGCGAAAAAACCTAATTTAGCGGAATGAATTGTGAACTTTGGCGATTGTATCACCCTAATTAGACCTCTAGCTTTCTTTTCATACCCCATTTGACCCGTAAAATGTAGAAATAAGTATTTTTGTAAATAATTAGTACCGTGGAGTTACCGCTAGATGGCGCCACCATGTCCATTTTGTGATAGTTCGCACATATACGGAAAAACCCAATTAACCCAATTAAGAGGAATAATTTGCGAACTTTTTTATATGTTTCCTTAAAATTAGGCTCCTTGCTTTCATTTTATGTGTATTTGGTCCTAGAAATACGTGTGTATAAAAAGTTGAATTTTTTTTCAATAGATCGAAGGATGTCCTTCTCGCACACTATTGCTTTCCTTGTCTAGCGTTATTAGACAAGGAGAGCACCAGCGTGCGACAAGGACAGAGATACGTGCGTGGTAGACAAGGAGAACAATAGCGTGAGACAAGGACAACAATATAAATTAGTTTTTTATAGAATCATTCATGGTGATTCACTTGATTGCTATTTTATGTCTAAACGAGTTCAAATATGTTTCATTGCGTTTGTGATGCTTGATCCAAGCAATCTCAAGTATTGTTGAAATCAATTATAATATTATAATTTTGAAAATGAAATACAAACATAAAAAATTTAATATTTTTGGATAAAAGTATAACGATATATTCTGACATTTTTAAATTAAACGCATATAGAGCAAAACTTCGATCTATTGAATAAAATTGTAAATATTCTCTATACACATTTTATACATCAACTGGAGTATAAGAAGAAAGTTTAAAGTGATAATTGAAAAAGTGCTATTAGTTTACAAATCAATCTGTATTGGTTCTTTCTTCAATTGAAAATTTGTTCGATTCATGAATAAATTTATGGGATTAATTTCTATTAAAAAAAATTGTGTACGTTCCTTGTCATCACAGATGAGATATATGAATAGACCACAGATGAAGTATGAGCATGAATACCTTGTCTGTGTTTAAACGTAGAGTGCGCTAAAAAACTAGTGATTTTTTACTATGTCGGTATTTCAAGTCACGGGTCACGAAAGTCCGTAAGATGCAATGTCTATTCATATATCTAGTCCGTGGTACAGTGCGCTAAAAAAACCATTTACTATGTCGGTATTTCAGAACATGGGACACGAAATTCTATAAGATGCTTGATCTATTCACATACCTCGTCTGTGGTTATAACTAATTTAATTTTTTTCTGCAGCAAAATATAATGTCTAAGGAAGTTTCTGTAACTACAATGGAATCCAATACAATATCGAGTGCAATGCAATAATTTTGTAAATTCATTTACTATTCGATGGTGCAGAAGTACCTATGCAATCGCTAGTGAAATATATACAAGTTTAATGGAATTCAATTTGGGACGTAAAAATGTGAAATTTTATGCAATACAATATAAAAATAATTTATAAAATAATAGCAGAGCAGACTTATTAATATAAAACATATTAGCAACAGGTTCCGTGGTGTAGCGGTTATCACGTCTGCTTTACACGCAGAAGGTCGCCGGTTCGATCCCGGCCGGAACCACATATAATTTTTTTTTTTTAATTTTAGAAAAAAATTTCCATTTTGCAATTAACAAACATAAAAAAACCAGAAAACTATGAATCAACAGTCATAAATAGCAAATACTAGCTAAAGACAGAAACCATCAGTTTTCGCTTGTACAACTAAACATAAACTATCAAATATTAAAGCTCATTTCCTCTGTTATTAGTTATTATTGTCACATTTTTTAAATTCAACGTACGAACTATTTCGTTTATAATTAAACATCATTGCCATTAGTTAAACGAAACGAGACGAAACAGAAGGAATCGCGGAAGTTGAAATTGATATTCGGTTGACGCGGTGATATTTGTCTTTTCGCACGTTCACGTCCGAAATGATACGATAGGACGTACAGAGTGTCTTTTCACTTCTTTTCGTTCCTTCATTCACTGTTTCCGTTTCGGCCATCTGCTAACCCACCTGCGCCGTGCCGCGGCCAACTGCTTCGTTTCTTTGGCGTCGCGTAACGAGAGCAAGTCCGGTTTTTAGTCGGACGTCGACCATTCAGCGCTCCTTTTTCAGCCGGTATTTTATACCGCGACAACAAGATGGAGAGCACCGTGGATATCGATGCGTCTTCGAACGAACTGCGTTCCTTCCTTTCCTTTTTCTGTTCTTTTTACCTCTTGCCGCCGAACTGATTTTATCGAACAGCTTAGCCAGCTACGCGGAATCAACGTGCATCAAAGAGCCAACTGTGCGTGACTATACGTCGATATAGCGCACGATCGTCGATAACATGCCCACGGACAGATGCTTGAACAAATTTCTAATTGTAACGCAGAACGTGATTAACGCGATTCGATATCAAATCGAATCTTCTCGGTGATGATCTCTAGGGTTGAGTAGAAGTTTCGAGTAGGTTTTTCTTTGATGTTGCTTGTCCTATTAACCTGAAGGTATTGGACCATCTCGTATCTGTAAAGATTGATAACATTTCTGAGCAACTTCTATGAACTCGCCGTTACTTTTCTCCTAAATTTACATATATATTTGTTTCTTGTTACTTTTGTAAAAATTGTTCTTTTTACGTCAATGTTGTACACATTATGTTTTCGTTTTTTCAAGTGAACACGTTTGTTTTCGCGTAGATGAAAGCTGGAACGTGGAAATCTGGGTTCGCCTGTGTGTCTCCGAAGCAGACGAACGCCTGGTAAAACTCGCTTATTCGCTTGGTGATTACACAACGGAGAACGAAATTGGGTCGAGTGTCGCGAGAATACTTTCGGCCACCTTCAAACTCCAGTGTTCTTGAACAACCCCTATCTTTCTGCCAGGCGTACTTTGATTCACGTGATTTTCTCTTCTGTGCTTCGCGTCTTTCCAGAGAGCAAATCCGAGCGGTGAAACGTTACATTATTCCCCAGGCTGTTTAGAAAGAAAGAATTCTGAAAATTTCTATTCGAAAGAGGCTACTATTTAAGGCAGAAAATTTATTATATAATAATATAGCATATTTAACTATATTATTATATTTTAAATGATCTGTTTCAATACTATCGCGTGTAAATTGATCATAATCCTACAGGTTAATCACCTGTTTAGACAGTTGCAAAAATTCGTTAGCTTAGCTTCCTTATCTTGATAATCAAGCAGCTTTACTGTCTGATAATAATGTTTGATCGAAAGATATAGCTTTTGGGACAAGAAGGTTACTCCAACCTCCGTCTATAATGCTATTTCTTGTTTGTGTTATTGTTGGTTTAATACTAACGGTGTTTATAAGTCCAGTTTCTAAATTTGTTGTTTTAATTTGTTATCGCTTGATTTCATTATCTACTTCAATTTTTACCGCTTAATTTCATTATCTATTTCAATTTTCTAATTTGCTATTACTGGATCAACGTACTATTGATTTACTATATCAGTATTTTAACGGTATCCGTCTGTTTCATGAAAAATATCAGTGGTTCATCATATGATTCTCTGTCCTCTAAAATATTTCAAGTTACTAAATTAATATGCAAGTTGTGTACGATCAAGCGGCAATTCACTTTTAAAATTTCCAACTTTGATCGTTTGGTTTTTTTTTTTTTTTTTTTTTTTTTTACTGAAACCGGCATGCTTTAAGTTTATCGTCGACAAAACGCGACACGGTTCCATGATCGAGGAGGTCAGATACGATCGACGCAGCCGGATCGGTTCCAATAAAAAGGATTAGGTAACAATCCGGTCGAACGATTTGAATTTATTATGCATCCGTGTTCCCCGTGGTAACTGCAGGTGGCCCATTCAGGATGCGGGATGATTGACCAGAAGTAGTCTCATGAATAAGACGCGAGAATCTCTACCTCCCGCGTGGAACGATCAGTTTCAATGACGGGTTCGTCTAGAACGATACATTGAGTTTCTTCGTTCGGTTGTTTCGTGTCCCGAGGAGGCTACCTGTCGGAAAGCAGCGTGAAATCTCGAGAAACCAGTCGCACGGTCGTTTAATGTTACCTCGCCCGTCTCCACCTGCAGCTTCTTTTTATCCTCGCCGCTGAACTTCACCCTGACCCTAATCTGTGGTCACATTTTATAGCCAACAATTAAATTGCCTTTTCCACAGACCTGATCCAACCGTCACAAAGATGATATTTTAGGTTTTATGTCGCAACAATCAAGCACAAATTTACGAGACTCCTGTGTAGGGTACGTCGGTGCTTCTATAGCATTACTCTTGTAATATATTTCGTAGTTTGATCCTACTTGTATTCTTTGGAAATGGTGTGACAAAAATGATGTTTGTTAACACGTATGTCTGGAAAAAAATACAAAGGATTTAGGATTAGAGTGAAAAGGTCGAAATATTTATAATTGGAGAAAATAGGTTCTTGCATCAAGTTTTTAACTATGTGTGAATAATGTAGTAAAGAAAAGCTTTGTATCTTGCTCGATGACTCTTCTTACGTGAAATGTGATATTATTGCACAATTCCAAACGTTTTCACTTTAATTTTTCAGCAAGATTTTATTTTCTTTCTTTCATAACTTTTTACTTCTGCTCAAACCGTCCTATAAATCCAGAAGTTCTGGTTCATCATTAGTATAGCGTGATGAAACGTGGAAGTTTCTTGTGAATAAGAGGAAAAGTACGCGAGCTTAAAAAGTTCCTTCGTGAAAGGGCAATAAATTCTCTCGGAAATTGATTAACACTAATGGTTACCTAGCTTCTTCAGCCACTGGATAAAGGAACTTTCTCTCCCCAGTAATTAAAAGCAATATTTTCGCCCTCACGGCTTTTCAATCTGAGAACACGTCGGATTCACGGTGAGTCAAGCAAATACGGAATAATTTTACGATGATTAATAAAGCTGCGTTGCGCTTATTAATCAAACGAAATGACTTGGACATGAGCACACGAAGGAAAACGAGTTTCATCCTTTTCGTCACCGTGTTCAATATAAATTACGTTCAAGTTTCAAGATTACTAGCTAACCTGTGTAAGATATTTCATAATATTAGAAAAGAGAATTCAATAAGGTAATAAATTAATTGAAAAGAAAGTCAAAATGTTACTTTACCGCGACGTTGGTCATTGGCGAGTTAAAAATAGAAGTCTTAAGGCTTCTTGCACATGACCTAATTACCAGATTAAATGTTGAAGATTACAAAAATCTTCTTTATTATTGTTCCCTTCATCCACCATCCAAAATTTGCTAAATTTTCATCGTGCGAAACGAAAAAAAAAAAAAAAGAAAAGGAAAAAGGATAAAAAAGAAGTGACTGCAAGGACGAAAGGGAAGATTCTAGAAGGAAAGTTGGCAAGTGTCAACGCGGTCACGGTGCAAAGGCGATGCACCGGCTGCAGCGGCGGTGGATGAAGGAAAAATCGATGCATCGCCTACGATTGTGGCCGAGCGATGCCGAAGTCGGCTCAGCTGTGCCGAATCCGAGGAACCAGCGCGAAACTGTGCGGACGTGGTGCGATTGCTGCACCGGATCTTCACACGGGAGGAGGTTCCTGGCGAGCCGTGACGTCGGAAAAAGCGTTCGACGATTCACTCGCATCTCCACGAGTGGAAAGTTCGGGACGTTCGTTTCGAATATCTACGTTGGACCTCTTCCGAACTTTCTTCGCGATATCTGGGACGTGATTCGACTTTCTAAACCCATCCACGGAGCACGGAGTTACTCGTGAAATGAGTTTTCCTTTTCGATTACCGCATATCCTCGGCAGCTACAACGTTGGAAAGTTGCCATTGTAATTTCAAGAATTGGTGAAGCTTATTTTAAGCAACTTGTAGAAGTACTTATTTATTGCATACCTTCGCGTGCTCATGTCCAAGTCGTATTATCGTCGAAAGGATGGAAAGATAAGGGCTCAGGTCGCATATTTAAATTTGAGTCGTTTGAATTCATGAAATTTGACCAATCTGATCGAAGTTGGAGTCTAAAAATGGCCATGTACTTCAAAGTCAATCACGTAATAAATAATCGCAGGAAATTCTCATTCCCACGTCAATGTCCTTGTTTCGTGAACGTGATTTTCATATTCATTCTTCTTTTTCATCGTTCAGAGCAACATTGCTTTTAGAACGTGAAGATTCAATTAACGTTTCGGTGCATTGTGTCGAAAAGGGGGGAGCTAGGCTTTTGTATCTCAATTCGTTGAAGAAAAAGAACGACGTAAAATAAATGGCGTTCTTCGTTATCTGCATTCAAATACACACGCGAAGCTTTACCTGAAAAAAATAAAGTAGCTCTTTTGTATCAGCTCTTTGCCCCGTGGACAGATAACGCTTAATTGCGACGTACGGATTTAAATAAGCTGGTAAAGATATCGTAGTTTCGTTAAATAGGATTGCTTATAATGAGCTCTCTCCTGATCTTATGACCTCGAATTCTTATAAAATAATAGCGTGTTCATTCCATTATTCTCCTTATAAGTATTGATTTATAATGTATAACATGATAATTACATATTTTTAGTAAGCAATTCAGTTTAACAAGTCTACCTTAATAAATCCCCTTTGCTCTTAATTATAATTAGTATAACTGTATAGTTCCATGACGTATCATCGGTCTAGAAATAGAAAGGAATCGGGGCAACCTTTAGCTGGGAGCAATGCAAGGGATGCACAAATGTTAAGAGGTGTTCTTATAATATTTCTGCAGAGCTTCTGTTAGAGGATTCACGTACGGTATTAATAACTTTTCATCCCTTTTCGATATTTTAATAAGATGTTTAATTTTTAATGAACTTATCTCATACCGTCAGTCACTTTTACCAAGACTAGGTAAAACGTTGCTTCTGTCTGTGGTAAAGTGTGTTAATAACAATGAATAGAAAATCGATTATAAAGAATAATCACGCTTGAAATTCTGCTGGTACTTACGAATTAATCATCTTGTAATCAGATTAGTGAACATGAGGATTACATAATGCTAGGTGAATTCATCCACTTATCCTCTCTTGTTCGGAGGGCTTTTTGTCTCCACGTTATAGGACGTAGATGCAGCTTTGCGAGAGAACGAAGGATGTAAATTTGATGAACATGTGTTTTACTGCTTTTTTTCTATTCGTTCTTAAAACGTTGTGATACACTCACGAATTGGACAAACTTATCAGCAACTACGGAGTCAGAAATATTTACGACATATTTTACATAACTGAAACGTTATAATATTTACATATATTTGTCTCGTATCTGTGTTATTAATTTTACATATAACTCAATTCTGTGATCGATATGTTTAATAACAATATAGTGCAACATAACCTTTCTTTCCCGTTCCACATAAACATTGGATCCTTAATAAATCATATTTCAATGGGTCGTCAACCTGTTAAGATTGGATGATAGTAATTTCACTTTATGCATATAAAATTACGCAAACTATTTTGGAGAAGAATTCAGAGCGTCAGGGAAGAAGAACCATCGTATATTAACGTAATTCGATTGATTATCAGCGTAGTAACCCCGCGGCACTTCGTATCGGCGTGGTACCTTGAGCGGTGAGCGCCGTGGTGGGGAAAGCTTGTGGGAAGTCGGACAGAGTGGGGGAAACGAGGAGCCCGGCGAACCGCCGGGAAGGAGTATCACCGCGTGTCTGCCATCTCTGTCTTTAGTTCAGTTCGAGTTCGGCGTGCAGCCGGTTCGTATCCGTGTGCTTTGCGTTCGATTTCCGCCCGATCGGCGCTCATCTCGTCTCCGCGACTCGTGTCGATACGTTGTCGATCTGCACAGTGATTTCGCGTCTTCCTCCAATTTGGAACGCGGTCACCGGGACGAATTTCCGAAACTTGGTACATACGTATATATATATACATTACCGACACTCACAGCGTCGCCAATCATTCGCTCTAGTTTTCTGTGGTATAATTATCTGTAAGCCAGCGTGGTTTTTTAGTTGGAAAAGCGTTGTCTCGCGCGTATGTGAAATTCCACGGTGTCGTACGAGGGGACAATCGATGATAAATCGCAAGTTGCTACGTCTCGAGGGAAAAGGTGATTCATTGGAGCGTTCGGGAAAGAGCGTAAGGGGGGTTTTGTTTTGCTGGTTTTGACGTTTCCGCGCGAGTAATTTGTTGTGTTTATCCGTTTAAACTTTTCGTACTTGATACTCGTACTCCGATTGATAGTAAGAACACATTGTGAATGTAAACATTGCTGTTTAGATTGCTCTGGAATATCGATCGGTAGGCTTGAACAACTAGTCGATACGTTAGTGAATGATCGATTAGTTGTTCGAGCTCCGACGTTCGGACCAATGGCAGACGTTGTATAAGAAAGTGACATCTCGAAAGTCAGCTCGAGATATCGGGAGAATTAATTACAAATGGAGCACCATTATTACTTAACAAATTTAATATGTGAATGTCATAATTCAACGTAGGGACATTTAACCTCTTTTTTAAAAAAGATATCTCTTTTAGTAATTCAATCGTTCGAATTCTAGGGATTATCAACGAAATTCCATTGCTAAATAATCAATCGAGTAATATCGATTTCTAGGAAAAAGTCTGGTAGAAAACGGACGATATACATTCTATAATTAGTGTTCCGAAATATATGCAGTTAAATTCGTGACTCCATAGAGAGCACAGCGTTGCTATATACAGTGCGTGGGTTTTACATCGATTCTCCAACGTAACGTACGTTGCTACGTCAAACCTGTCTCTCTCTTTTGATACGAATAAAGTTTTCGATCGTGATAATTACGGGAAGAATACCATTGGACAAGATTCCGAATCTGCGGGCAGATTTTTCTGGCAAGTTGGAGTTAATTATTGGCCTAATTATCGCGTTCTGTAATTGATTATTTGGGAACGAACGATTAATCAGGGGTACCTAGGTAGCGCTGACATCATTGGCAGCTAATTAATCAGTGGCATGCGTATCTCGTGCACAAGAGTAACATTGAACGCTCGCGGAGATGTCTACCGAGAGGATTCTCCATTATTTGACAGCGACGATCGTTGATAGGACGTGAAAGGACGGAAACTAATAATTAATCGATTTTGTGCATCGGATATTCGTTCATCGTGCATCGTATATTCCGCGTGTTTGCCATGTAATTACGACAGATCACGCAAACAGTTATTATAAAAGATATTAGTAAATAAAAATAAAAGGATAAGTCGAGACTTTTTTCTTTTTTTTCTTTTTTTTAAAGTGGAATTCTTTATTGAATTTGTAATTTTCCGATTGATTAATCGAGTATCACATGATTTCAAGTGCCGTCGTCAGTGATTGTTCATCGATAAGTAATCGAGTTATCAACGTGATCTAATCATTCATATTTTTCAAAATCAACGCGTCATCGCTGTTAACGTGGTTTCTCCCGTTCGTTGCATCGGAGTACGATTGCAGGACGTTCACCCGTATTGACGTGCAAAGACCCTATTATGCGTTAACGGACCACAGAGACTGTGTGTAGAGGTTCTTTACCAGTCTTGAAAGTTCCCTTATCGTCGGCTACTCGAGGAAAAAGTTTCACGCGCGTCGATAAGCAAGCATTAATAAATTCGCATCGTGCGATGGACGCATTTTCGTGAAAGAAGAAAAGAAATATGATTGAGAATAAAGTTCCGTGATTCTGATCGATTCAAATTTAGCGGCAAATCGAGGGGATGAAATTTTTGGCGGCGGCGCTGTGATTGGTGGTTTCTTACGACTGCATCGCCAATGGCGTGGCTTCCCGCGCGAATTGGTGAACCAATTAAAAGGTCCGATTAGTTCGTTTTGCAGGGAACTCGCGAGAATCGATTAATCAGGTGTCGAACGTTGATCGATATAATCGTGCGAAAGTAAGAAAGTAATAAAGTGAACGATCATGGTGTGACTCGGGTGACTGGATTGATCTTTTCGGAAAGATCGACGAAGTTGATCGGTGGTTGTGTGGTGATTGGTTTTGGTGGTGGTGCTTGATACGCTCTTGGGAGTCGGAAGCCCGTTGGCACCTGGGCCTCGTTTACGTCGGTTTACTCATGCTGGGAGTTCTGAAGCGGCGCTGGAAGCCATCGAAAAGGTTAGTGCTCTTTGACGCTTTCTTTTTCTCTATATCTTTTTTTCCTCCTGTGTGTTTAAGAACTGTTAGCTATTCAAATTACGAAGTTTTGAAATGAGTTTGAGTTGTGTCATTTTTGAAATATATGTACATGTATGCGACATGATACCTACTTGGTTTTTTCATCGAGAGTCAGACCATTGAAGTTGACGTTGTTCGATGATCGATAATCGCGAGGTGTCGTTGGGTACGTTGAACTTCCCGCGTAATGCAACGTGATGCTTTAATTACGAAATGAAGCAGGGTCATTGTACGATAATTGCTTCTCGAATCCCTCCCGAAAAATTTGATCGTTACGTGACGTCATCCTTATCAATAGCTAAAACTCTGTCTGCATTATCGACGTTGTTTTCGTTAGGGATCATAACCATACATTTATATCAGAATGAAAAAAAAAATCACAGGATCATAATTATTTTTTTGACTAAAACGTTAAATCGATTACAAATTACTAGTTTTATGGAAAATTTTTTTCTTGCTAATAACCATTACCGATGAGAGAAATTTATTTCTATTATTTAATAGTTCTCAGCGAGGGAAACTCTCTTTCGGTTGCTAACCGAATAATTATCGACAAGGGAGATTTATTTCGGTTCTCTTTTTTCGTTAATTCTCGCGAGATTTATATCGGAAAGTAACTCTAGAGTTTTGAAAATGTTTTAACGCGATTGTGGAGGACTGTTTCGGTCGAATATGCCCGAGCAATACTTTACACTATTACGAACGACAGAAATGGAGCTTTTCTCGTATAAGCAAATGAATTTCCCATATCGATAACTGTTATAAGGGATTGAAAACAAATTCCCCTCGTCAATAACGATTATCGGCAATTCAAGAAAATTTTCAGTCGTTTGTAATTGTTATTTATAACCAAAACGTTGAATTTTTTGGTTGTTTAAAAAATTTTTTGGCCTGGTTTGAAAAATTTTCTTTACATTTTAAAATTAACATTCTCAACGTGAATAATAAATAAATTTCAGTTACTGATCTTTTTTCGTAAAAATTCTTCTAATAACTGCTACTTTTGGTCCCCGACTGTTTGTTGCTTGATCAGTGTCAATTTTTGTATTTCAATTAATCTAAACATAACCTTTATATCAATAGTAATGCAAATGCTAATAATATCGCGGATATTGGAACTCATTCAACATGTATATAAATATACCGAAAGATATTCAAACTTATATTTAAAGCTTCGTGTCAACAAATTTTATTTTCGACTCATTTTTTTTTTTTTGTGGAAAATTCCTTCCTGGACTATAATCACTAAAGTACATATAGTGACTTTATAAAAATATTCAAATACTTATAAATAAATATTTGAACGCGTTTATTGTATGACTTATATATTATATGAAACATTTTGAAATTTCGTTGTATTCGTAACTCTTAAGTCCATTTTTGGCACTTGTTGTATGTCTATTTTAACACAAATATATCCAAAAATATACTCGCAGTGATTACCTTGCATCTTCTACACTTACGTTCACATCGACTTGAAATCTTGAGTATTAAAACAATCAGCGTTATTAAAATTTTAAAATGTTTTACGTAACACACGCGATATACATGAATGGAAATTTTCTGCGATATGTTCCAATGTTTTTACAAGCGACTGTGCACGTATGTCTGTACGCACTTACACGTGTACCATAAAGGCACGAATAAATTCGTGCCAATATTTGCCACGCGAAGAAATTTGTTAGCACGTTATTTATAACTGTCCTGTAACTAGCCACAATAGAACAATGGAACAATAGAATAACGCGGTCGGCAACGAGAAGTAACGTTGCAAGTGCCAGAATCTTTCTAACCGTTTCGTTTTACCGAAAAGGCTGAGAAATAATTGGGACACGAGCCGCGGGATCAAAGACGAGTTCCAACGTTTTCGTTATTTGCCGTGCAATTTCTCTTCCACCGTAGGATATCCTTACGCGTATTATCCTGTTCACGGCGCTGTCTCTGTGCTCGTTGGAGCAGATATACCTGATTTTTGATTTCGTATTTTGTACAGAAAGCCGCTGCAATAGCGAAAAGCTTTGAAAAAGACGGTCGTTTGTCGGAGCGGTGATTTCAACAAACGACACGTATTATTTCTGAGTGAAAAATTCGTCCGAATGGAACTGAAATGGCGGGCGGGCTTTATTCTTCCGTATTGTATTTCCTCGTTACAGCCTGCATTTTTGTTTCGAGCTTTCTCTCCGTGTTTTCGACACGGAAACAACGGAGATCTCTATATATAATATTATATATAACATTTACGAGCTGGTTTTTCTCTTGACGTTAATTTAATTTGGTTCGCGTTGAAGGGATCACGTTGACGGTGTGCCTTGTTACCACATTTAGAATAGTAGTTTACCTTTAAATTTGATAAACTCGTGAAATTTCGATAGGAAAATGTCAGTGAACGAAAGAAGATATCAAGTAAATTGGGATTTTCGTTTTTATATAATGATCTTAACGTTAAAAGGTGAATCGTGCGCGCTCCAGATTCTTTACAATCTTCTTTCTGCAAGTAAGAAAAAATTTCCTGCGCCTCGTATTTAGGCTAACCGTTGCGTTGAATTTTAAAACTCGAGGCAAATTGTACCGTGCGACGTGGTACGTTAATTAGGGAAATCTCGCAAACTAATTGGAGAAAGCAATGTAAAATTTGTGGTAAAATAATCGAATAAAATAGTCGGTATTTATTATGGCGAGTAATTAAACTCCTTACGCCTGGTAGGAAGTTGAGCAATAAATTTAATATGCAGCGCGCGAAGTTCTCGATGCATCTTCAGGCTACGTAATAATCTGGATACGACGCTGGCGAAAAAGTTTTTATAGGTCGGTCCTCCTTTGTTTCCAAAACTTTTTGTTAAAGTTACATTGTTAATATCTGCGCGAACGTGGTGATAATATATTCACTATTGAACGATCGAGCTATGCACGTACATCTAGAACATTTAATGTTAACTCTGCAAGATAGATAACCGAAATGTATCTGGTTTACGAAATTACCTCTCGCTGAATTAATAGCGTTTCATCCCCCCCCCCCCCCCCCGTGTCGTTGATTCGAGAATGAAAGAGCTCCACGGTCGTTCGGTTATTAAAAGCATACATACCATCTCGTCATTTCACGGTGATATCATAAGCAGAGCACGAACGACAAACGATATCTATTATTATCGAGGCCGAACTGTAATCCAGATAAACATCACCCGGTGTGCGTAGTTGTAGGGTAAATTAGACTAACGCTGACAATCCAGCCGCGGGATCGTTGTAACATAATTGCATCGGCGATCCATGGCGTTCGTTGAATCGCGCGGGCGAAAGTTTAACTTGCCGCATAACTTTGCATACGGATGTGTACACGGGCTAATTTCGACGCATTATCATAACACCTGCTGCGCCCTGGCCTCTACGGATTAATTTTCATTAGACCACCCCTGCGGTCGATTAGACCGTTTGATTACAACGAAACGTTTGCTCTTTTTTGGAAAATTATTTTTACTTACACTCTTGAAATATTCTAAACATTTTGTTTCTGCGTGGTTTCTAGATTTAGTAAATTTCTAATTTTGGCGGCTATTTCCCAATTTTTCCCAATTTTTGGTATTTCGGACTTTTTTTTTTCGTGCCACGCACGTCGAGAACTTTTTGTTCCGAAATTGTAATATTTTCTCAGTTTTAAGTATATTTAAGTAAAACAAAACAGGCAAAACAAATAATAAATTTGTTACTTCCCAATAATTTCTATTCAGTGTCATCATACCGACGAGTTTCAAAAGAAAGTGACTAATTATTGTGTACGGTTTGGTCACTCGTTATGGTCCGCCAGTTGCCAGCGCAAGCGGTTAAAACAGCGAGACCTTTATAACGACTGATTTCTTGTTTCAGTAGCAAAATTAGAAAAGCAAAGTAGAAATTTTACCCTAATTAGGCTAAACTAAAAATCCCGGCGGTTTTTCAAGTACCCTCGATAGTTTGGAAATTCGAACGGTCGTATTGCTAATATCTCCCGAGTTATTAGCGCAACGAACACGGCGAATTCTTCACGTACGTGCTCGAGTATTATTCAAACAGCGTTTCCACTTGTACCCTCTTGAAAACGAACCTTCCGACATGCATAGATGCACGCGTTTATTTGCTTTCGAACGTGTTGCTTGGAACTCGGTTCTATTAAAATAGACCTCGAGGGTTTTAAGTGCTATGATAAAATGTTGCGCCGACCTTACGACGCTCGTGAATGTCATCGTCACTGATTCTCGTACAAGCAGAAAACTACCATTCCAGTTTGTCCAATATTTGATACGTGTCGCGTATTTCACGTCGATCTGTACTCAGTGCATTTTGCACGTTTATTAGCAATAAGTTCGATAAGTAACCGATGATAAGAGAGGAGTCAAATGTTTATTAGGTTTTTCATTTTCGCGAACATGAAATTTAGACGGCGATTTGTTTTACTAAATATTATTTGAGTCACAAGCGAGTGCAGAAATGAAAGAATTTTCTTTTTTATTTTTTTTTTTTTATTTAATTTAATCTCAGATTATTAGAGAATTTCCTTTTTTATAATTTTTGTTAAAGTAAAAGTTCGTAGAACAACTTATTCTAACAAGTACATCTTAAGTTCAGTGAAATTGTTTTTCTTTTACTTTCATTTTTCCACGCATACACTGATGAACAAAACTGAACACACATATAAATCATCGAAGAGATATACAGGGTGTCCATAAAGTCTCTTTATAATTTCAAAAATTTATTACAAAGGAAAATGAAAAGACAGATAATTGGAAATTATTATAAAATGAGACGTATATATTTAAGTTTCTTTTTGACTCATTTAATACACTTCTATTAACAAGTGTATCAATTTATTTAAGAAAAATTAGATATTAATAAAAATGACAAACATTTAATTTCTAAATATATATTTATTTTTTTCATTTTAGAAAAAAAATAATATATATAGATCATTT